GTGTGGGGTCTGCAATTTCCCGTGATGACAATGGCTCACCCTAACAATTTCGCGACTTCGCAAGGACTGACTAAAGTGGGACTTGTTGATATGAACTGACAAAGAAACTTGAGGAAGCACGAAATGCCCCTTCAAACCGTACAGCGCCTATATCTGATTGGACACCCTGTGTCGCGAATCGCGAGGATCGCTCCCGAGGGAAATCCCTCAGGGTGCGCCGGTGCTCACGTGTAACCGCCGCAATGACCAACTACGACCTATCCGTGATCGCGCGGTAACGTGCGACGCCTCACCGATGGCACCATCACGGCCCTCCCGGGTTAGTTCAACATTATCTACGACTGCGTGTATATCGTATCTCTATCCTCTATCATATACTACATATTTCGGCGGCGGACTCGTGGGGCCTCGGCCCTTAGAACTGTTATATATGATGAATATTTCCAATTCTTCCTGGTCCAACAGCGGGTCGAGGGCGCCGGCCCGACGTGAGTTGTATTATCAAAGTTGACATTGTTTTCCTCATTTGATTGTGGTCACTACTTCACTTACCTTATAAATCTATTAATTATTTCATGTTTTATGCATTTCATCGGTATCACCGAACCAGTATGTTTCTGTGCCATGTAGTGTTGCACTAATCATTAAGAAGAAGGTGTCACTGGGAGATAGCCTCGGGGTTAGGCATGCCTCTGTCGTGGAACTAGTTCATTTGTGTCCTTGTAAATGTGGGGTGTAGACTCATGCACTTCATTGTTCGAGACAGCTTTTCTTCTGTAATCGTGAGCCATGTCGTCCTTTTCATGCCTGTTCCTCTTTGTTCATGTTGTATCTTTGTTCATGTCCTTTCTTTGTTTTACTCGAGATGGGAACTGCGCAGCTTTTGTTGAAAATTTCAAAAACAGTTACTGTAGCGTCCAACGCATGAGAACTTTCGAATTTGAAGATGCCCCGGGGCCTGATGGGTCTTTAACGAGAGTATTTGATCATGTTGAAGTTGGTTATGAGGACGTCCGCGTCGTTCAGTTTACGGAATTATCTTCACTTACCAGGGAGGTCGTTCAGGACGTGGCGCGCTTTTTGAAAACGGTTTTTTGCATTGTGTAGGGGCACGTTCATGGACTACCAAACTGACGTTCATTTTTCCTAAATGGCTCTTTGAATACCAAAAAAGGAGTGAAGAAGAAATGTATGGAAACGGGTTGGTTTTGAGCTTCTATGGGCTCCAAATCACTTCCAACTTTGACCAGTGGCTGAGTAGTGGGTCCTTATAAAGGCACTATAGGTATCGAGGAGGAAAGTAGTCGCAAATGGGGTCTTATTTGCGGCACGTGATTGACAGCGAACGCCTCTGGGCGGCTTGTCGGGATGGTTTCTTCAATGATCGGAGCGGTGTTCAGCTACAACGATCATAGGGTGGGTGTTGATGGTTCGACTCCCCTCGGCGTGCCAATTTTTG